ATCTCAGTTTAATCAATATAACGGATTAAACTCATCACAATTACCTGTTGGGGATATATTAAAATCCAAATTTATCGGGTAAATCGTTTGTAATTTGCTGGCACAAATACCTCGCAAACTAAAATAGAAATATTCTAATAAATATAAAATTGTTATGCGCTAAAGGATAACGAATAAAAGACCAACCTGATCGCTGGCCATATCACCGTCTGCAACAGCTTCGCTAGTATCATCATCGTCGTCGTCGTCGCTTTCTTCACGACTGGGCGACATACTATCATGATTGCTTGGACGTTGCCCACCTAACGGGGCTCTGTCTCGCTCTCTCGTCTCTCGTAATGTTTTGGATACATACTCCTGCCAATCTTCTGCCTCAATATATTCTGATCAAATGCAATACAAGAAATTGTTATAATGTACATATGCATATGGAATGAGTTAGTAGAAACGCACCAAATTTTTTCTGCGTGAATGTTTTTAAAACTTTAAACAATAATAACAAGAACTTAACAAATTTAATAAAACTTTTTTTTAATTAATTTACAAACTTGTAGAAGTTATTAAAAAAATTTAGTTAAGTTCTTGTTATGGTTCGAAACTTTAAAAAAAAAGTTTATTAAAAAAAATTTTGGTGCGTTTCTACTGACTCACCTCATATGCAAATCAATAATAATTCGGAAAAACTCAAACCTCTCACTTTCTCGCCAATTTCCACTGCATATCGATCAAGTAATTTTACAACTTCTTCTGCAATAAAAGTTAAATGGCCCATATAACCTAATCTCACACCTTTTGGCTGTTCACTGCAAAACATTAAAAAATATTTGTTACATAAAAGAACATTTGGCATTACAAATGATACCATTCTAACCATTGAAAACATACACTTCATAGTCATTTAATCTTTGTGCTTTTGTGATACGTTTGATAAGTTGGCCATCTGTAAAAACCTATATAAGAGTATGTAAATTTAATTAGTGATAATCAGTTGAATTTAACATAATTATGAATAATGAACTTACTGAAATAGCCAAGGCTTTATTATATCCGATGTCCATTCGTCCATTGAATATTTGTGCGATCATGTCATATACCACAGTATGTAAGAAATTATTCCATTTAAAAGAAAAGAAAAGATCCTGTAACAATAAAGCCGGAGTTAAAACTTATATGTAAATGACAAACAATTGATTAAACATCTATATTGATGAATAATTGTAATAGATTGCGCACCAGGCAAGTTGGTATGATTCTGAATTCGATAAATTTGGATTTTAATATATCCCCAACAGGTAATTGTGATGAGTTTAATCCGTTATATTGATTAAACTGAGAT